TTGAACTTTTGCCGTGAATTCAATGAATAAGAGAGGAAAACTCCCTTCAAGTACTTTAGCAAAAAGACAAAACGCTCACATACTTATAAAAGCTTGCTCATAATTAGAAAAAAAAATCAGTTTGGACCATGACTTGTGGGACACCTTGTATACATGGTTTCTTTTTTTTTGTTTTTGATGAAAATATTTGAGAAATAGTCTCATATTAAACATGCTAATATGAGATATGAGAAACAGTTCAAATATATGAGTCTCATATTAAAAATAGGAGGTCTGGCAACCCTAGCAGGCTCAGACCTGTCGACGGCCTGAACGTGTATGGAGAAATTTTAACTGACGATATGCAAATCGGCAGTTCTGGACTGCAGGCTAACTGTAAGTGAATGGGTACCTTAACAAAGCAAAAAAGAAAACAAAGCAAAAACAGAAACATAACCTTAAAGGCCTGCCAACTGTCAAAAATTGTATACTTTTCGCGTTGTCTACATATTTTACACGTTGTCTACATAGATTACATAGTTTACATTGTCTAGGCGTTGTTTACACCGGACGTTGTATATGCATAGATGCCCATCTCTGGTTCAGCCCCAATTTGTGTAAAAAAAATAATAGGTCTATTTTTTTTTTAGAGTGACAGCGTGACAGTGACAATTCAAAATTGTAAGTTGAAGTTTAAATTAATAGGTTTGTTCAGTAATATTAATATTTTTTGCAGATTTTTACATTTATTGGGGCTGACTGACCAGCACGGTCCCGCTATTCAACTGACTGACTAACACTACTGCTATTTATATGTTATATATAATATGTATAACGATTTTCAGCTTTAGTAAATTCGTTGCATTACCCAAGTTATCTCGACACCTTTAACAAACAAGACACCCTGGGTCCTTGTCCCAAGTTTCGCTTAACTGACCGCGGTATGTTTATGTACGTAAATACTGTAATCAACTGTCCAAAAACTAGCTTTAGTAAATTCAGACAATTTTTTCGGCGCTGGCTCTTAGACTATCACGCTTGCGCATTCTACAACCGGGCAAACAATAGTTATTTATGTACCAAGGCTTGTAAGTGTTACTTTTTTGGCCGAGGATGCAGTTTGCAAGCCGAGGCCCGTAGGGTCGAGGTTTGCAAGCATTTGAGGCCAAAAAAGTACACGCTACAAGTCGAGGTGCATATGATATTTTTTGTGCTACCGTACATTCAAGATAATAATGTTTCTTTTACTTTCAAAATTACAAAGTAAATAACTATGAAGTATCTCATTTTTATATTATCACCTATTTGTTTATCCTAATTTCAACTTTTTGACATCTAGGTATTTTCTATTTGTTTCAATAAAATTGTATCCTTGATTTGTTTAGGGTTTTTTATTTAAGAAATCGAGTGTTTTTGTGACATTATTTTGACAGAGATATGAACCAAGCAATTTTCACCTTTCATATCAACACTTTTTTGACCCGGTCAAAAAAGTAACTTTTTTGGCCCGGTCAAAAAAGTAACTTTTTTGAGCCGGACTGTAAGTGACACTTACAGTTCATAGACGTAGGTCAAAAAAGTCAACTTACAGAATGGGTAGCACAAAAAAACATTTCCGCCCTCCTAGCCGGACGGGAAGAGGAATGCTGTCAGCGGGAATGCAGTCAATTGCTGACAGTTTCACAGAGTGTTGATTTTCGGTGAATTTCAGTATCTTTTCAATTTTTTGAATTTATTATAATAGCTATTCTGGATTGCCTAATTCCAATGGTCAGTTGCGGCCATACATGACAATGAATCCTGAGAAGACTCTGGATCCTGAAGGGCTAAAAGCAGTTGAAAACCTGGCAGAAAACCAGTCACATTCTAATTTGATATCTGTGAATAACAACACATCTTGTCAAACATTTTACAAGCACTACCAAACTTTCTTGATCGAAGTTAGGGAAGGGAAACTGAGTAAAACAGCACAATTTTGGGTCAGTTACATGGACAAAGTGTTATTCATTCTAAGGTTCCAGCGAGCGACTTAAGAAAACAACTTTGACTTACACTTGGCATGTTTGGAAGATATGATTCCCCTTTTCTTTGCATGTGACCATCACAATTATGCCTGGTATCTTGTAATCTATACGCTCACTTTTTTGAACCTGCAAAGAACACATCTCTCACTCTGGAGCTGCAGACTTACTTCGCAAAAATGGTTTCAGTATCTGTAGATCACAAGTTTCTGGTTCCAGAAATGCTGTTGACATTACAATAGAACAGACAATTAATCGATATGCCAAATGCACTGGCGGTGTGGGTTTTAGCAGACATTTCTGGGCATATGCACGATGGTGTGTTACATTACAAGGCATGAACGTGCTAAATACGTAGAGTTGACATTTGAAAAAGCAGGCATGTTACACACATAAGATTCCTCTCCTCATGATATGCAAACACAAGAAAATAATTATTGAAATGAAACGAAGTGAGCAATATGTCGTAATTGAAGCTATCACCTATCGCGCAATATATCAATCTATTTGAAGTTAACGACAAGGATAGCCTGTTCTGTTTATCATCTGGAAGACCTGTACCTGAACCGGTGGAAAAAAATTTACTCAATGTAGATTGCCTGGGAAAAGCTGCCTATAAGACTTTCGTAGGTACAAGATAGGTTTATTCTCAAAAATACAAAATTTCATGAACCACTGAAGAGACAAAAGCTTCAAACTTTCAATTGTATTCAAGAAAAGATAACTGTTACGTCTCCGCAAAATCGTTTAATTGAGATAAGAGCAGGAAGAAATATTTTTGGTCGAGCTCTGCTCCTGTCCCAGGAACGTAAAATTAACCTAGATATGCTGTTTTCCTATTCATTAGGACCAGTACCATGGGCATTAGCCACTGCAGATGGGTGTCCTACAAAAACAGACAAGGCCAAATTACTCCATGCTTTGGAGATCAAGGGTGCGGTGAATGACCCTCCTAACATTGAGGCATGCATTTATATGATTTATGACATTGCTTACTTTCAGGCTCTCATTAACATTTCAGAAATCTTTGGTGATCTAGCCGAGATAATATTGAGCCGCTTTCCAAAAAGCATAAGGATAGATTTCGTGACAGATACTTAGAAGTATCTATTTAAGACGTTGAAAGACTGAGAAGGGGTTGTGGAGATACATTCCTAGTAAAAGGTTCCAAGTCCAAGATCCCCCGTGATTGGAAGTAATTGCTCAGTGATGGAAAAACAAGGAACAACTTGTCAACCTTCTACATAATGAATGGAAACATGACAAATATGGGCATTATTTTCATGGTGAAAACGTTTACTTATCACACAATGACCAGTGCACGTTGTTTACTAGCGAAGATGGTTCAACTGTAAATTATACTGTACAAGAAGAGCTATGCTCTTCACAAGAGGAAGCAGACACTAAAATGATTCTACATTGCTTCCATGCTTCTCAATCTCGTCAAGATAAATTATTGTCTATCAGAATTAGGTCCCCAGACACAGACATTTTTTATGTGCTAGGTACTGCTTGATACAGGAGTTGGAAATAAACGGTATTAGCTGCGGATTTAGGTATAGCAAAGGAGCCATGCTATGTTGAATATGCATGCATTATCCGGATGTGACACTACCAGTTCTTTTGTTCGTTGTGGAAAGTTGTCGGTGAAATCTAAATTAAAGAAAAGTTTTAAATTCGTGCCTATCCTTGGGTCTATAGGATCATTACTTACAATTACAGATAAGCTAGTGATAGACCTAGAGGAATTCGTCTGTTACTTGTACAGTGATAAACGGTACTCAGAAATAAATAAGCACCGATACGATTTGTCCACATAAAAATACTCTCCTACAGTTGCCAAATACACATGATGTTGAATTGAGTCTACTACCTCCTTGCAAAGCTTCATTTGAAAACCACATTAGTCGTGTAAACTACCAGTGCTACATATGGAATAATGCCCACGTTGCTAAATCCATCATAACATTAAGTCCAGTGGGACATAGCTTGAAATTGGAAAATGGACAACTAAAGATTGATTGGAATAAAGGGGATCCATTGCCGGTCGAACTAACTGATGTTATGGATAGCTATCATCCAGATAAGTTTGAAGATGGAGATGAGCCAGAGGTAGTTAACTTGACAGATATACTACATGAGGACGATGAAGATCAAGAAGTAACCAGAAACCCATAGATTACAGATTCAGCTTTTTGGAAGTTCCTGATTAGTTTGTTTTCATTTATGCTTACATAGGTAATTACAATATTGTGTTAAGTTTCAGATTTACAAATAAAAAAAATATATATTGAAAATGGAATTGATAATTTCCGGTTATTTTTCCGATAAACAAACCATGAAAAACTAATGGAGAATTCCTTTACGGTATACTTATAGTTTATAAACACCCCTCCTCCACCAAAAAGTTTAATTATTGAAATGTGAATAAATTTTTAAAAAAATTTCCGTGTTTCCGCGGTTTTTCACCATTTTCCGGGTTATGCTGTACTTAATTGGCATGAGACAAACAACTAAAGCCTTGAAATACATGGCAATACCAACAAAAAAATATGTGACTCACAACTTCCCACTGGGGGGGGGGGGGGGGGATGGTTTCCTATTTGTGGCTCATGGTCTAGTCTATATATTTAGGCAAATACAACTAAAATCACTTTGTCATAGATTTTTCTAGAAAAAAACTTACTTTGTAATCCTAATGCATCCTGCAAACAATATCAAAAATAGTTAATATTTTAAAACATTCAAAATCATCATTCTTGAAATATTTTATCGATGACTGAATAACAAAATAGTGAATTGTGAAGAAGCATTAAAAACAAACAAAATTAACCATTCTGTGATCATTTTCAACAAAATGTCATGCCTATCATTATCATCATGCTATGCTGTGCTCCTTGAATTTGATCTTAGTTAGTCTCTGACTTTTCTCCGACTCACAGAACTTATCATATCTGATTATGAGCGTGTAGAAAACATGCGATTCAATATACAACTTACCAGTTTTCCTTTTGTCCTTCCATTTTGTCTCTGTTCGGCCTCTTTCTGCGCCTTTTCGAACATTTCATTTAGAAAATCATTCACTTGTGTCATCTTCTCCGGATCATTCTTGAATTGAGCTACTCGAAGGTCTATCGACTGGTTCAAATCCAAATGTAAGTCAGCCATTGCGATGCGATATTTATTGCTTCAGTCTTTTATTGATGGACCTAGTATTAGTTATATTACACTACCTGGAAAAGTAAAGAAACTACATTTTATCAAATTGTTCGATTAAGGTGTGAAAGTATACGAATATAAAACATAAATAAGCTTTTTTCATTTTAACAATGTTTAGGCCCAGTTGTACAATCTCGGTTCAAAACAAAGTTCAACTGAACTCGACTGGTACTTGAGCTTTCCCATTTAAAATACATTGCTGTCAGCTATTAATCAAATTCTATCAATTCTGACAGCAATGCATTTCAAATGGGGAAGTTCAAGTACCAGTCGAGTTCAGCTGAACTCTGTTTTGAACCAAGGTTGTACAGCTGGGCCTTAATCCTTAGATTGTTTAATCCTTTCTGGGGATGGAACCTAGAACCAAATGAAAAGTTAAAAACATAAACTTCAATCGTACCACTTCGTAATTATGGCTATACTAGAAAAATATCTTTACTTTTTCTTATAGTTGTATACATACACAAGCTTCTACCAAAAATACCTCTTAAAATAGGATAGAATTATATTCTCCTTTTTATTATTGACAATTCTATTATTTTGGAGAAAGAAAAACGAAATTTAATAGATTTAAATCAAAAAATTGGAAAATAACAAGTGCATAAAAAATAGAAATCATTACATACCTACTTAAATTAAAAGTTATCGGTCGAAAAAATTCATCCAGAATTTTTTTTAATTCAACAAGAGGTTTTCAAAACAAAATTGAAATCGCCAATAGTTCTATTTAAGTACAAACTATCAAAAAATAATGCAGAATGGGACAATTTTTTAACATGTCTTGTGTATAATAATACACTGTTGAGATTTGAACTAACGGAGAAAACGAGAATCCCCTTAAGTACACCAAGTAAAATAAAAAGCTACTATGTAAAGTAATAAAAATTAACATTTAAATTGCATCGTATATTCACTTACAGCAAACTAATTACCTTTTGGAATTGAAAATTCCTAGTTATTAAAGACATATACTCGAAAAATAAATGTATCAACGCCTATTTGTTAAAAAGCGAGTTTCAAAAAACAACCTTTAGTTACTATAATACACGTTCACGTTGGCCTTTAAGCTTTACACAAATAGGTATTATCAAAAACACGACGTGATTCATAATACACACCAGTTGGTTATGTTTCGTACACCATGCGCTTACATATTGATCGGGAGTTTTCTTTCCGATCCTATCAAGCGGTGCGGTTCCCTTTGATTTCCCGGGAGAGGTCGGAAAATGACAAATTTCTTCGTTAGTGAGTGGGCAGAGGTTATGGAAATGAAGTAACTGGTATATAGAATTTATTTTTATTTTGAAATAAAGTGACTATTACATCAGACAGAGAAATCTATAAGAAACACTAAGATTTGAACATTCAATTCTCTGTGAAAACTTACTGTCTATAAATTCAAAATTTAGTCATATAAAAAAGCCCTAAATTATGCAAGTGTATCAAAATCATTACAAAAATTAATTAATTATTAGCGTCCAGGTACTCCTAGGTCATCGACACCATCAACGCAGCGCCAGTGGGTCACCAGGAAACATAGGCAATGCTACGATCTATATCAGACGCAGCGTCATCAAAAGTTTAATTATCAAATCTTTCGATGTGGAGCACACAACAGATTTTTGTCAGCGATTTATTCTTTTTAATTAATCACCATTGTTCATGACGTTTGTCAAAGTTGCATTTTTTGTACATAAATGGTTGTTAATTGTTTAATAAAAGTCAGTTTTAATCCAACAGTGGTTCTTACTCCCCAGTCACCAAACTTCCCGGGTTTACTAACCCAACCTACAAACCACAATCAACAAACTACCAAATGTTCCGAGCATCCGCCTGAATTCCAATACAAGAATTTACATTGGTCCTTCGAGCAAAAAGGAGATAAAGGTTGAAAACCAGCTCTTCCAACAGTCTTTCATTTCATTCCTACACACATACACTCGCGCCCTTCGGGGTTAGCGATTAGACACCGGCCTAAACACCCACACAAGAATACCTACATCCCTTCCTTGCTGTAGCAAGTGCCTTGTCTGGTTACAGCATCCTGTTCCTAGTATAGCAAGTGGCTTGTCTAGCTATACACGCCTTCCTACATCCTAGGTATAATAATCAAATTTACACATACACTCTCGTTCTTCGGGGTTAATGCTTAGACAAGGGTCTAAAGCACCTACACATACATTCCTTCCCGCTGTAGCGAGTGTCTTGTCCGGTTGCAGCATCCCATTCTCAACAGAACAGAATGAACAGAACAAAGAAATCGGTTCAGATACCAGCAGACAGCAGCAAATAAGGAGACAAAAAACACCAGGTCCTAGAGTCAAAGTAATAAGCAGAAGCCGAGACATACCTACCTACACAAAGAGGAGAAAAAAGAACAGATAACCAATCAGCGGCGGATTTAGGATTCCTTCTAGGGGGGGGCGATCCATCAGGGCCTCAGGCTCAGATAAGAAATAATAAAAAAACGACTTAAATATGCAGAGTGGCAAAAAAGTCGCGTATAATACCTGTAACTTTCTAATTACCTCGTATACGAAAATTGACCTTAATGAAAGTTGCTCAGTAAATTAGGGACATAAAGCTTCCGTATTTTTTGCTCGGTATCCGTATCGGTATCGTACTGCGCATGTGCAGAAGCGATACGGAGGCCGAGATACTGTACGTACAACGTAACGTTACGGCCCTCTCGCGGTATCCGTATCGGTAACGTATCTTGACATTCCTGACGCATGTCAAATTTCAAATGAATATAACCTCCCTTTTCTTCCGGGTTGATTTAATTTGTTTAGTTTATACTTTCTTGAGTTTCTTGTGTGTTTAGATATAAAAACGCCGAAGTTTTGAGATAAAAATGTCTAGGTTATGAAATGCGTTTACGTTTACCGGAACAGGGAGCGCTTTAACAGCCTTTTCGCTTGTCAACGTATCTAGTTGCGTTACGGATACCGATACCGATGAATTATTTCAAGTAGCTTTATGTCCCTAATATTTCCCACAATTCTACTTAAACGTATTGCCTGTGTCACTTCTGGTTTGTTTGCTATCTAGACCAACTTTCTTTTTTTCAAATAAAACACCTAAGTTCAACTGTTTTGGAAATATTGACAGTTGAACATTGACTTTTTGCAACTTTGACAGGCTGTAAAACCTGAACGGTTAATTTCAGAGGAAAACCGATTTCACATTCCTATCTTAGATTTTCATAGACTATCATTTGACATCAACATTTAATTTAATCGGAGATTAAATTTAATTGGAATTTTCAATTATAGATTAAATTCAAAGTTGGTGCGGATTTACGTCATCCGCAGTCGATTCGCTCCCAGCTCGCTGCTGCCAAACGTATTTAAAAGTATTAAAAATTTGGAAAAATAGCAAAAACCATATGGAATTTCATGTTGGATAATGCTTGATGAATATGTTTGTGTTTTCGTTAAAAATTTCGTTGTTGCGTTGCTCAATAGGGGGGGGCGCGCGCCCCCCGCGCCCCCCCTCTAAATCCGCCACTGTAACCAATAGCAGTAGGCAACATTCAAAATGGGAGAAGCCAACGAACTCGCTAAAGCGCAAGAAACCTTGGGCAAAAAATTAAAAACCCTATTTTCCAATTACAAAAAGGATCCCTATGAGAGAAAAAATGAACAATATTTTCTCAGAAAAACTGTCGTACTTGAGTCCATTTGGGAAAACATTGGAGAAAACCATAAACAACTTATAGAGCTTAACATTCCTATGCATCCGTATTTCACAGATGATTATTTTCGTCAGCTACAGGAATTATCGCAAAACACATTACCAATTCCAAACAAAAGCTTCGTCAGGCAACCAAACCACCCGTACAACAAGGAGAGCTTCATATTACGATCCAAACCAGCATCAGGCACCGAAAAATCTTTTGAAAGAAAAAGAGGTCCGAATGAACCAAATTAGTCAAACCTTAAGGAGCATCTCAAACGACCTAATCAGTGAGCAGTCTCGCAACCGTTACCAGTTTTTATTAGAGAACCTATGCAACGGGATGTCACTGAAACATACATCGAGTTTCAGGTTCAGGGAATTGACAGCAGGTACTATCAAAAATCCCATGCAAGACCTTGAAAAGCGGTACGAAAAAACAGTAGAAAACCTCCAGGACAAGATTCAAGGAGTAGAACAAGTTTTGAAATAATGCAATATAACATTACCTCAAATCAAACTACCAATTTTTGAAGGCCGATATGAAGAGTGGATCATATTTCGAGACATTTTCATCAAAGTGGTTCATGAAAATTCAACAATTACGACAATAGAGAAAATGCAGTATCTTAAAACGCATGTGAGTGGGGAAGCTGGAAGACTGATCTAGCACCTGTCTATAGCAGAAACCAACTATGGCCCTGCTTGGAATATTCTTAATGACAGATACAGCAACAGCAGACTTATAGTCTCCAAACTACTAGATAGGATCCTAGATCTTCCGGTGATTAATCAGGAATCATCATTCAAAATTGAACAGCTTCACGATACAGTTGTGGAGTGTCTTGAAGCCATCCATAATCTAAGTATCGATACCTCCAATTGGAGTCCTATTATCAGTCACATCATCTGCCGAAAATGGGATCATGAAATCAACAAGCTTTATGAACAATCGCTAAGCAAGCCCCATGAAATACAGGACTTTGTTAAAATAAGGATATTTCTTCAAGCAAGATTCCAATCATTAGAACCAATTTCAGACACACAAAAGAAAATTCGACTCAACTCAAGCAATAATGACAAAGCCAGAAGTACTGATGCTTGCAAGTACTGCAGTGAAGCCCACATGATTTACCATTATCCAAAATTCAAAGCCTTATCATTAGAACTTCGGCTAAAAGCTGCCAAAGAAAAAAAAACTGTTTAAACTGCTTGAACCATGACTAAAAATCCAAATGCAATTCGTCAATGACATGCCGTATTTGCAATAACCAGCATCATACATACTTACACGCTGATTCGTTTAGACCACAAAGTTCAGAAAATCATCGTTCAGAAATGATCAAAGAACCGAAACAATAACAAGCCATATCAGCCGACAAGATGAGATGGTATTCCTGGCAACAGCACTCATTAAAGTTAGAAATGCTTATGAGAGTTATGAAAATTTGAGAGTTCTCATCGACCCTAGTTCCCAATCAGCATTTATAACCGAAGAGGCTGCAAGTCCACTAGCCCTGCCCAGACAAAAAATCCAAGCAAAAATTACAGGGCTTGGCACAGGAGAACCACAAGTGTCAAAATCCCAGTACAGTTACTTATCAAGCCGAGATTCTCCAGTAACTTCCAGCTTGATGTTCTCGGAATCATTCTACCTTAACTAACACGAACTCCTGGAGTAGACCTTGACGTAGACATATTACAATGGAAGAACGAGAACGACGTCCTAGCTGATCCAACATTCTACAAACCTGGTCCAGTAGATAAACTTCTCGGGGCTCGAGAATATGCCCAGTTAATAACATATCAATTAATGACTATTTTTTAACAACTATAACCTATGGGACTACAGCAGCACCATACTTAGCTATTAAAACATTACAAAAGCTCGCCCACGACGAGAGATGCAACTTTCCGAATGCATCCAAAGCAGCAATGAAAGATTTTTATGTCGACGACTTGCTCTCAGGTGCTGATACTATAGAAGAAGCTCTATCACTGCAAGACGAACTCATCAAAATGTTTCAACGAGGAGGGTTCACTCTGCGGAAATGGTCCAGAAACAAACGAGAGTTAGGTACTACAGAAACTTCCAAATGAACTTAAAAATCAATCAGCCGTGGAAATAACTGGAGATAACATAAGAAAGTCTCTAGGTATCCACTGGGCTCCGTATAATGACAAATTTTGATTCAAAGCTGGAATATCGACCAGTGATAATATTACTAAAAGGAGCATTCTTTCAGAGGTTGCTAAATTATTTGACCCACTAGGATGGTATAAGCTCCAATAATCATCAGGGCGAAGATCCTTATCCAAGAATTATGGCTGCAAGAGCTAAAATGGAATGATCCTGAGCCACTCTTCATTAAGAGTAGGTATATGAGAAATTTTCCGAACAGGCATATGGAGCAAGTCTACATGAAAGTCAAGAATTCCCTGGATGAAACAAAAATAGTTCTGCTAACAGCTAAATCCAAAGTAGCACTAGCAAGAATGAAAGTTACGTTGGCAAGACTAGATTTATGTTCTGCCGTGCTTCTTTCACATCTACTAAAAAAGACTGCTACAAGCTTATCACTACAAGACACCTACATGCCTGGACAGACTCTACAATAGCACTATCATGGATAAAAGGGGAAGAATTTTGTAGCCAATCAACAAAATCAACAAACTTATTCCACATCAACATTGGCACCACCTGCGAACCGACGACCACCCAACTGATATTATATCATATCAAGAGTGATAAGTCCAGCTCTATTAAAAAATCGTACAATGTCGTGGATTGGTCCATCGTGGTTGAAATCGATTAACGGAACGACGACGGACCAGATATCAGTCACCGCAGAGGAGGCCAGAACGTGTCACCATGTTGTTACAATTACAACTCAAAGCAATGAAACCAAAACTGAAATTATAGAGCGATTTTCTTCACTAAGCCACATGATTCGAGTTGTATTGTACTGCAGACGATTTATTCAAAATTGCAGGAGACAAACGAATCCGCTAGGAGTGTGCGGATTCGTTTTTAGGCAGACGTCTGAAAGACATTGGGTTCTGTAACATACGACGTCTTTAAGATGTCTTGTTACGCGTTGAAGACGTAAGTAGACGTCTAGAAGACATCTTGAATGTCGTTTGTGGATATCTAACGGCTGTATTTAAAATGTCTGTGTGCTGTCTGGGAACAATAAACATTTTTTAATACCTACACGTAACAAAATGTTTAAATAATTTTTTCTAAAGCTGTTTATTCCAGATATAGAGTTATCACCGTCATGCACCATGCACTGATAAAGTTTAGAAGTGAGTTTAGCAAATTATAACTTCGATTTCACTACAAAGGATTCATTTCCAGCCAAATGACTTTCATTTCTTTATCAGTGGTTCAACGTTCAACAAAGACCGATTTAAAATAGCCTCAAGGTGATTACGGAAAAAATGCTTTTCCCATATTATAGGTCTGGGTCAACATACTGAATATTGAATAAAATCAGTGGTTGGTCTTCGAATTAGATGCATTACCATAATGTGGCTAAATCTATACAGCTTTTCTATTGAAAATCCAAAACCAAAAAGGTACTTACGTTGTTATGTACCTACACTTTTCTCTAGTTTCAAAGTGTATGTGTTTTGAAATAACAAAACTACAGAAAAAAAAAAAATTCTGAATCAAATACAATCTCTGCGCTCTTGAATTTATTGGGAACCTTTATTTAGCCTGATATTATGGTCAAGCAATGCAAATTTACCTGCTGCAAGCTGCAAGTTCTATTAAAAGCCGACCAGCACCTTGAAAGAAAAATATGACGTAAACCAATCGTATTTGGCTATGGTACGTATTTGGAGCACAACTAAAATATTTATTTATTAAGAAAAAGAAAAAATACACTTCTTGAAGCGCACTAAAAATTAAACAAACAAAAATCCATAATAAATGCTTATTCAAGTAATTACAAAAAAGATAATAATTTATTATTTTTAAACGATGATTATTGTGTGAGAATTGTACAGAATGTGTTTTCAAAAATCTCATCAGAAAAAATAAGTGTAAAATATACAAATAATGATAATGCTTAAAGTAACAATTAACCTACTTGTAACGCAGTCCGTGTTTCTTTATCACCAAATCATCAACTATTCAAATTTACCACTTGATTTTAATTAAGAAGGTTATCAATTTTTCTCACCGAAAAGCAATATTGCTAACAATACAATCGTTTACGTGTGAACACAAAATTATTGTATGTACTGACGTACCGATAACGTATCACCAGATTATAAATGTTTGTTCTGTTTGCGGACTCGTCACCTCACCTTGCAGGATTTATTATACGATTCCTACGCATGATGCAAGTGAACTTGTATATAAGGAGTGTAGGTATATGACTGTGTGTATACCTGATGAATATATTGTTAATCTTAGGCGCAATTTGCCAATTTGCGGTGGTTAAACTATTAGTGAACAATAATAGTATGAATTTGATTGCAGTGGTTTCAGTAGGTCAGGGTCAGGTATAGAAATGCCACAAATAATATTTGAGGAAAGACAATATTTAAGCTAAAAAAAATAGAAGATATTTATTCAGATAAGTGAGTGCAAGAAAAAAACCTTTTCTGAAAAATTTCGTCAACCTCATAGGCATTTATACGCGAAGCTGACGTTAGATCGTCATCATCGCCTCAATGCTGGCGAAATTGGTTTCCTGAAGCATACTGTTTGGTCGTTCGGCGATCCTGCCAGTTTATTGTAATTTCTAAGCAGCGTCGATGGTACTTTTCCCAGCAACTCAGGTGTTGCCTCTGTAGGTGGTTCAGGTTACAGATTTATAGAGAAGTGGGAACTTATTTCGTAGTTTTGAAATAACAGTATTTGCATTTGTTAAAAGGTGATCAGATAGATATAGAGGAATGAGGAGTAGGTATTCTATATTTCCAAGATGTGTTTTATTGATAATGATATTTGGAACATGACTTTCGTCTCATATTGGTGTCAAGTTAGTTATAACACTAAAAAATACTGAAAACTCATCTGCGGACTTGACGAGATTTTATCCAGAATTTTTCAAAACTTGCCTGTTAATGTCATGAGGGTCTTGGTAAGTATAATAAACAATTCGTTTAATAGCGGTATTTCCGTCCTGTCTTAGAACTGCGATTGTCTTACCTGGGAGTAGGACGAAACCCAGATATACCATCTAACGTTCGATCCATAGGTATCTCTATTGCCAATAACTTTATCAAAAATAATTAAAAAACTGGTTAAGAAAGGATTAGTTCGAGCACAATATTCTCAGTGGCGTAGCAAGGTTTGACGGGGCCCCGATGCAAATAAATTGCAGAGGTTGCATATCCGAGGCGCAATCTTATGTTGTCATAGAATTATATGTATGATGTAGGTGCTTACTGAAAGAACGATTTTCTTGAGAAGGATCTTTTGGAAATAGACCTTTTGGTCTACTAGATGGTGAGGTCAGAATTTATATTTTTATTTTATCCGAAACATGTTCGGAAATATCCTTGTTTTTGTAATGTCCAAGATCTGCGGATATACCTAAATGATTTCTTCGGGAAATTCATTATTTTTTGTATTTTCTTCCAGTCATATTGCCTGTGGTGCCTGTATCATTTCTGATGAATCTGATTTCTGAGTAACATTTTGCCGTCTTCCAACGTTATCTGCACCTGAATATTTCAACGTCATAATAGGTTCATATATTAGTCGTATTACGAATTCACAGCTTCAGTACAACGTCGGCACAACGATGCCGCCTACGAAAATTAAAGTAGCTTACAAGTAATTTGAAACGTTGACGTGACGTCCTTTCTCGACTAAATTATTGAAAGTTATCTTTGGACGTCGCTACAACGTCGCCATATAACCTAATATGGCTAGGTAAGCTTTGGTATAGTAGGCAACGTTGGTCGGATGCTGTCATTCGACTAAATTAAAAGAGGCGGTACTAAGTTTTCTGCCAACGTTGTTTCGACGTAGGTAAATTTACCAAAATTGATTTGATAGGTTGTAATGAAAATTACCAGTTTGTCATTTACTGCCGCTTAATACTCACTCTAGTTTTATTCATACAGGGTGTTGCAAAAAGTTTAAAAAACAAAAAAAAAATATATTTTTTTAATGGGACACCCTGTATATTATGACAGTTCTGGATTTTGCGGAAAATTCTAGACATAATTCATATACAGTGTGTCCACTTAAGTTCGCAGCATATGGGAAACTTTTTTATTATTAATTTTACGAAAAAAAGTTATTCCTTATAAAAGTTTCTGCTTCTTGAAAAAATAGTATTAAACTATTAAAACTTGGAATAGCATGTACAGGGTGGTCAAAAAATAGAAAAATATACAGAATTTTTTGGTAAAAAACGGTAAAAGTAGAATAAAAATGGCACGTTACTATTTTTTAAAACCTTTGATATTTTTTCCAGATTCAGCAAGTCATGTTACAGTCAAAATATACCTTTCGTTATCACAAACAGACCTGCCAAATTTGAAAAAAAAATTATAAAATGGATTTTCGAGCTAAAAAAACGATTTTTTCTAAAACTTTGACACCCTGTATCTCAGAAACTACGCATTTCCGGACACATGTTTATGGGAACTTTTTTTCTTAAAATATTGTAAGGAATCACATCCTGAAGTTACGAACCGTACTTACGAAACACCCTGTATATTTTTCAATGTTTTCACCACCCTGTACATGCTATTTCAAGTTTAAGTGGTTTAGTATTATTTTTTTACTACTAACCTGAGAAATAGACATTATTCAATCTATTTTTCTAAGAAAAAATTGAATTTCTCTCCCTAGGTTAATAATGAAAATAATTAAAAAATACCTAGGTCAATAATGAAAATGACGTCATGACGCAAGGATATTGTCATGTTTCTATTGGTTCAATTTCAATTTCATACGTCAATTTGAAAAAAAATACAGGTTTCTGTAGGTACATAGGAAGTTATATAAGCTGTTGATAGAGGGCAGCACTATCAAGAGGGCGTTCACAAAAAATAATTAGAACACAGATTTTAAACAAATTTTTTATTTTCTACTAGCAGTAGTAAAAAAAATTCTATATATTCCTCGGTATCGGTACCTAGGTATATAATATACTATTTTTCAGGAAGCAGAAACTTTTATAATGAATAACTTTTTTTCGTAAAATCGATAATAAAAAAGTTTCCCATATGCTGCGAACTTAAGTGGACACACTGTATAATGTCATATACCTATCTTTAACTGTTTTGGAAATAATGACAGTAAAAAATTGACTTTTTCTCCAAACGTCAAAAAAACGTCACTTTGTTAACCCCTGTCAAGATGTCAGAAATTTAATTTCTATGCTGTTAGGTAAATCCAGCGGGTTCACACCTGTCGAGGTGGTAGAAGTTTAATTTCTATGCTGCTTGGCAACCCCAGCGACAGCAAAAGTACTTTTAGTGCCGCTCGTACTTTTACTGCCGCTCAACCATCCACTTGCCCCCGAGCTTACCCCATTAGTTTGGAGAAAAAATAGCGTGTTGCATACGAAGTAGAAGCACTTTTTTGTGCTTCAGCAGTATTGCAAGCCTCACTACGTTCGGCTCGCAAACCTACTGCTTCAGCACAAAAAAGTAAAGCTTCTACTCCTAATACAACAATATACTATTTTTGCAACTTTGAGAGGATGTAAAAGTAAAACCTAAACTGTTAATTTTACAGCAAAACCGATTTTACATTCTTGTCTGCAGCTTTTCATAAGCTAGCATTTGACACTTACTTCAAATTCAATCCATGATTGAAATTCCAATTAACCCGAGAATACACGCGTGTCGGTCATAAAATCAGTAATTACGCCACTGGTACAAGGGTGGCAGTTTTGTTCATCCAGGAATGCTTGATGCAGGCTTTCCACTACCCATTGGTCCAAAAATATTCTGGTTTTTGGTTGAAGTAGGTATAGTTCGTAGGTTTCATAGTCGGTGCTTTTGACTAGGCGCGTGAACCTGAGTATCTAAAATATTTGTGTTCAAAATTGGCATTTTCTGATATTGGGAGTACTTTTGGCTGCCGATAATACGGTAACAGTACTGCAAAATATAATTCCCTTTGTAATGATTATGAATTCTAGATATTATAGTGCTTGTACACTTTTTTCGTGGAAACGATACCAAAGGTATCCTGAACGCTAAGGCATGACTTTCGCAGGTAATATTTGAAAGTTTCATGTCTCTATTGATTAGTAAACCTGCGTAGGTTATGCCTTAGCGTTCAGGATACGTTTGGGATCGTCTCAGCGAAAATAGCTAATAATTTGTATAAACTTTTGGGCAGTCAGTCGATTTGACCGAACGCGTGTAATGACGTAAGTTTTTTGGCGCGTGTAATGCCGGGTTAAATTTAATCTCCGGTTAAATTCAAAATTGGTGTCAAATGCCAGCTTATGAAAAGCTGCTGACAAGAATGTAAAATCGGTTCTGTTGTTAAATTAACAGTTTAGGTTTTGCAGCCTCTCAAAGTTGCAAAAAAGTCAATTTTCTACTGTCATTATTTCCGAAACAGTTGAAGATCGGCATATGACATTATGCATGAAATATGTCTAGAAATTTTCGCGGAATCCAGAAATGTCATAATATATAGGGTGTCCCATTTAAAAAAATATTTTTTTTTGTTTTTTAAACTTTTTGCAACACCCTGTATGAACAAAACTATGTTTTCTGAGAACTATTTTTCAAGCACTACACCTTTCCTATTTACATTTTTTTCATACACGGTGGCACAAAAAAGTTAAGGGGGGTTAGAAAATATAAAAAATGACGCTCACATCTCATTGGAATGTCCAATATACAAAAGTCTTAGAACATCAGCCATAACTGAACTATTTGTAACCATTGAAAATCTTAGATATTAACTTCTTGAATAACCCAATTGACCTTAAATCCACAAAACTTGTGTGTTATCTTTTAATAAACATTTTGAAATTAAAAGCTTGGATTATGAATGAATAAATAAATTTGGGTATTTTCTTATTCTGACTTTTTCTCCCTTGTGTTTTTCTCTTTTTTCTTTTTTTTTTTACCAGAAAACCAGCGGAACAAACACTATTAGTTCAAATAATAAGGTTTAAATGACATGTCAATTTATAAACATTTGTACTCTACACCTTTTTCAATTGTAATTCAGAAAGCAGAAAATGTATTTGAGAAAGAGAAATTAAATTTCAGAAAATGGAAATATTAAGGTTTAAAGTCAGGCCTATAGTTTATTACAGCAACGCGAGATGTCAATGCTGTCGCCCCTATAGTGTGCCCTAACTT